AAATATGTCTACTGTAATGTTTGAAGAACGACAGACAAAAGACGTTCTGTCTTAACTTTTAATCAGAATGCAGAACAGCTGTATCACAGGCGCACCAGCCTAACTAACTCGCTCGTCTCTCTTGCATTAACCCTATAACTGCCGGTGCAGCAAAATAAACAGCAATTTCACAATGATTATAAAGTCTGTGTGCTACACTACATTCTTTATTATTAAACAAAGTAATTAGAACAACGTCAGTCTACATTAATTGACACATTCTTAGGAAATAGTGGGTTCACAGCGAATTATCAGAACTACTTCAGTAAAACTTTAATATTGTGCTTTTTACCTGGAAACCTAAAGCTGCACTAGGTATACATCACATATTAGCACAAAAACTTGATATTTTGAGCACTCAATTGAAAATGTACACACAACGTATCAATCGTACTTACAGGTTGTGGTTCGGATTAAGTCCAAATTAAGAAGATTAGAAGCCAACGAACATAAAAGCCAAGCTTAGAGAAGCAGTCCTTGGTAAAATGACGAGCACACAACAAAAGGTTCGAATTGTATTTCTGTGGTATCCTTGAACAGAGCGTCTTCTCAACATGATGTAAACACACTAACTAGCGGAAGTGTTTGTGGGAAGGTCTAACTCGCGGGCAGGCGGGGATTATGCAAATGTGTTACCCAGTGACGTATACCGGTAACAGGCAAATGATTCGAAAATATGACGACTCGTTAAGGCGATTCAGAATCGACTCTCTCTTTTGAGAGACAATATCTTTATTTATCATGCACTTTTTTGATTAACAACTGTGCAGATTGTTTTCATTTAAGGATAGCTACGTTATAAACTGCAAAAGAGATATTTTTCAAAAACCCATATGACCTGCACTTTAAGTAATGAATGTTTTATAAGTTCCACCAGCTCAAAACTGACTTGGGAAGGTAAAAGTTATATGCAGATTTTGAATCTATTGGAAAGGTTAAGTTGAACCTTAACAGTTTGTGCAGAGCATTCAAGTGCAGATTGTTTTGTAAACCTGTCACAATGTAATGCAGACTTAACAAAGTGCCTGTTATCGGAAAAATGCTGCTACACTACTTTACATTTACTTTACAATTACATTTTTTACAACTTTACTTTTACATTTATTCATTTAGCAGACGCTTTTGTCCAAAGCGACTTACAATTGGGGAATACATCAAGCGATTCATCTTAAAGAGGCAAATAGACACAGGAAGTACTCGTCATACCAAGTTTCAAGCATTGTTCAAATAAGTACAAACTAGACAGAGAAAGATGAAAGAAAAGAGAAAAATATTTTTTTTTAGGATGAAGTCAGATAGTGACGAAAGAGGTGAGTTTTCAGCTGTCGCTTGAAAAATGTCAGGGAATCAGAGTCAGCCTGCGCCAACTCTAGATGGCGCAGGCTGATGGGTCCTTATTGCAAACTGATGATATTTACAGCATCAAACTACTTGGCACAAGCTGACTGGTTCATGTTGCATATGCAGCCAATGAGCTTTACTGCTCTACATTTAAATGGCTGGTTAGCATCCACTAGAGCATTTTGCAGTGTGCTTTCAGAGTTACTCTGAAACCCTCCACCTCCCCAGCTCCACCTGTATAGATCTGCTACGGGTTATTTTGTATTCTATTTGTGCAGCAACAGCATACTCACAGCACCGTATCAGCGTATGTATTGGCAGTAGCAAGTTTCTGTACTTGCTTTGCAGCAGCAGCAATAATCTACAACAGCAGCAGCAATTCAGCAGCATAGCAGATCTATTCCGCCAAGACCAAATACATTAATATTGTCACATCCATTACCATGCTAAAATGGTACAAGAAATGGTATTGGTGCAAGAAACCTTGACTAGAATTATAAAAGGATCTCAGCCAAAAAATAAAAAATTATGGTTGACCCCAACAAGTAGTGAGTTTGGAAACAACATGAATATAATCTGAAAACAAACATTAATAACAATGTCCGGTTGTAAAGGGCAGCGCTCCACTCCTCCCTAAGCTTGTCGTTTCACTGTTCATGTCATATAATCTGTCATTATCTTATAGCAAAATGCAGCATGGTGGGAAAAGGAATTAACTTCCACAAGTTTGCCCCCCACCCCCCCAGAGCGACTTTTAAGCAGATCAACTAATTTGCATGTTAATTATGCACCCTGTGCTAATTACTGGATTTGCCTGGGCCATGCGGTGCACTGCGTAAGTGCCTTTCCCCCTCCCCGCTGTGGGATATTGAGGTTGGCAATACACCTTCACTGATAGCGCTAGAGTCAACACACACATACACATACAGGTTTCCTGGGTGCCCCACCGAGACTGTTTGTTTTTCTGTCACTCGAGTGCCACAAACACACTGGCTTTAATTGCTGGCTTGTGCGCGATAAGGTTTCCAATTTAGCTCAGGTTCATTAAGGAGCAGATACGGAGAGATCAGAGCGACTCTCAGCAGAGACTCTGATAAACTGTGAATGTTTACATCACACACACACAGTGACTGGCAGCCACACATTCCAGCGGGGGAGAGCCGTCTCAGAGCTCACAGCAGCCAGGCCTGCTTGGATACAGCCTCCGCTAGGAACTCTGTAGTACCTGTCTGATTTGTCTATGATATACTGGAGTCATATATAAAGGGGTCATATGATGCTTTTTTAAAGATCATTATTTTGTGTATTTGGTGTAACAGAATATGTTGACATGCTTTAATGTTCAAAAAACACATTATTTTTCAAATAC